TTTTTTTTTTTTTTTGTAATAGAAATGTATGCAAAATAATGGAATAACATATTTTCATAATTTTATATAACTTACATTACTTAATTTATATATTAATTTTTCTATTTGAAATATCTTATCTATTCGATATATTACATTTTCTAAAAATATTCAAAAAGTATGATTTAGACAATTAATATCATAAAAACGATATTTATTTTTATAGCTAATATTTTATTTTTTATTATTTTATTTATTATTAATTGAAAATAATAAATAAATAATAATAAATAATAAAAATATTAAAAATAATAATAATTTAGAAATAAAAGTATTATTATTATCGTTTATATTTATTTATTTATATTGAAGACATATATAAATTTGGATCTTTTTTGATACATCACAAGTATCATGAATCTACAATTTTATAAATAAAATGTTGAATCATATCTTATATGCGATGTTTATTACTAATAATGAACAATTAAAGAAATATTTTATTGATACGATTTAAGAAACAATCTATGATTTAAGATAAGAAATAAGAATAAATAATTGAAAAAATACTTGTTACAAGCTCAATATGAACATTAACAATGTGAATATTAAAAATTATATTAATATTATATATAAATAGTATGAAATATAAAAAATTCATTAACAAATTATACAGAATATAATGAACATAGTTTATAACGTTATTAATTATTACATAATCGATAAAAGTTTTATGAATCTTATTTTTTTTCTATTTTTTAAGTGTATTAATTACATGTTACATTGACTTAGCTATTATTGTTCTTTGTTACATTTGGGATTGCTAGTTAGTAATATATATATATATATAACAAATTTAGAAAGAGCATTACCAGAGAGCACTACCTGTCAAATAAAATTGAGAATACTAGAAACGAAACAACTATGCATCAAATAACCCTCCCCTCAATATGAATAAAAAAAATTTCTTTTATATCAAAAATATATATATATATAATTTTTTTATATATCAAACACCTAATAAAATTATTTTTAACACTATATTCAAATATCACTTTCAAAATAATTAAACTATTATAATATATAAAATTATACACATCATATAAAATATATAATTTCAAAAGTATTTCTGATCATAATATATTCTGCACAATACTCTTTTCACTAGCATCAGTCCAAATATTATATAGTTCTAATTGTATAATAATTCTTGAAAACCTATAACTCACAATTGCTTAAATTAGCATAGGTGTCACAAAATATTTTAACTAAAAGACTAAATCAAATGTACTCTTTAGCTTTGAATAATAATTATTTAAATTTAAATTGTTTGTACTTGAAAGCATTAATATTTCTGAATGTTAAATATTTACTTAACTAAATCCAATATAAAATCCAATTTTTTTAAATTAAACTACCATACTCTCTCTTGATTGTTTTTTTAATTTCTTTATTACATTGTGTTTCAATTTTTTTTGCATAAAAATATTTATGTGAAATGTAATTAGTTTGATAATTTAAATTTGCAATATATCTGATTATTATAAGTTAAAAATACGTTTTCCTTTGGTTTATCTTATACAATTCCAAAAATAAATCAGCAGATTTTTTTCTATCTAAACACAATATTGTAAGAATGTATTATATATGATTTTACAATGGAGTATATGAATGATAAAAATAAAAATTTTTGTATTTATTATCTGCTAAAAAATGAAAAATCATGAATAATTCTACAATAATGAATAAGTCTACAAAAATTTAGTAAATAACACAAACCTGATTTTATAAATGCTGCTTTAATAAACAAAATAAACAACAAATTCTAAAGTCCAGTTTCTTCATACTTTGTATGAAAAATAATAGAGCACACATAATATAATTCGTTTGTCTTTCACAAGGAGAGATCTGGTAATGAAACGATCTTTAATGTTTATGTTTGTTTTTTCAAACATGAGTCATAACTAGAAACTTATTCATCAAATATAAACATACTCTATTATTATCAATTTTTATATTAATCCAAATCAAATAATTTTCATTGAATATTCTTTTATAGAAATATCATCATATGCATTCAAAAATATAGTTTATAAGAAAACTCACTTTATGCATAATATTGATTTTCCATTAACTAATTTGATTAGCACTTCTTGGATCCATGGTTTTCTTGCAAAAGTAATTTTTCTACTCAAAAATATATTTCTCGTAAAATAAAATAATGTACACGAATTAGATTTATTTAATCCAAAAAATAAAATAAATAAATCGAAAAAATACTCACAAGATAGTAATAGTCAGATACGATGTAACAAAAGCTTAATAACGAAAATAAAGAAATGACGGAGAGAATAATAACACGACTGCTACGTGTAACGATATAAACTGAACTGACAGTTTTTCAGTTTATTATGCGTAGCATACCTTAACAAAAATTCTACATAGTCATAAGAAAGTCGATATCGATTTAACACAGATTTTGAATTATTTTGCAGATCATTAATATTTTATATAATAGGAATGCAGATTCGAACCTGCCTTTTGAGTAATAAAATGAGAAAATAGAAATATAAAAATATAGAAAATAGTTTCTTTTTTTTTTTTATAATAAAATATATATAAATTATGTATTATATTCTTAATAAAAAGTTTTGAGTTTTCTTTTTAAAGTTCATTAAAAATTGAAGTAAAGATTAATCGATTCGTTATTACTATTTATTGTGTGAAAATATATTTTTTTCCGATTGTACTGTTTTCTTTTTCTTTCTTTTTTGATATTAAGTTAAAGTAATTTTATAAATAGTTTTTTTTAATTTCTGTTACAAAGTGATATACATGTAATAGATGTATCTTGCTACTTGAAAATAACAAATTCGACATTAAAATAAGAAATAATTATTTGAAATGCATCAATCTGATTTTTATTGTTATTTTAAAATATATGCAGATAATATCAATTCAATTTGAATTATAACAATTTTAAATAAATGAATAATTAGATTATTTTTTTATTTCAAATAAATAATTGTAAAATAAAAATTATATAATAATTTCAAATATCGTGCAAACAGATACAAGTATAATATAATATAAATCAAATTTTGTAACATTATTTCTAAATTTGCAAATTCTAAATAAAAATAACAATACTTGAAATATCATTTCAAGTTATCAAAAATAATTATTTCACATTTAATCATTTCAAATAGTCATGAAACAAATAACATATACATAATTAAAATAATATTTTAAGCAACATCACTTCATAAATAGAGCCTTAATTAATCAATTATCCAAGGTCTCGATTATTCTGTTTACTAATACCAATCTTGTATTCTAATTATTTTTCTAAATTTTTATTTTTCCAAATTTCTCTTTTCTCATCATTTTTTGAAGTTGATACTTATTATAACACATTAAATTTAATTATAAGTGAATATTAATGCAAATTCTAAAAAAAAGCAATATATATAAAATAAAATTCATTTCTAATTATTCCCTCCTTGATTTATCCAAGCTATTTAAACTACTTATCACGTTCATAAATAATTGCAAAAATTGTAAAACAAATAAAATATTATTCTCCATCCCTTTTGCAAATTCAAAACTCTTAACCTTTTCTAAAACTCGGTACATTTATCACGTTGATTAATCAACGATTTCATTCCATGGAAAGCAATCGACTTCCGGCGAACGTTTGCGGATAACGCGGAAATATTTGTCGAAATTAAGTCGGGAGAAACGTCGAAACGCCGGTTCCCGTGGATCGTTCCGTTTAATTGAACGCGAACCGGGATATACCGTGCAAATAACGCGGCTCGCAACATTTGCCTTCGTTACAGGGAGAATTAACGAGGCCGCCGCTGATAGGAAATGATGATCATTCGCCCAGATTCAATCGAGAATCGTGCGGGCATTAGCGTGGAGCTACGTTAATACTGGATTCCGTTATATTACCTCTAAACGTTATCGTGAAAAGTAGCTTTGGCAGTCGTTGTGACACGTGGACGATATTAATTTCGGTCGATTTTGTATCATGGAAATGAAACGTACGTTATCGGAGAATATAATGATGATAGAAATCGTTTGTGAAAATTTTTTGTTCTTATTAGATATTTATAATTTTGATATATATTTGAATTAATCACACATTTTTTTATGAGAAATGATATTTTTAATTTGTTAATATTATATTAGGACGATATTTGATAAATTTTGAAAGTTTTCCAAAATAAGAGTATTTTAATTCTTTCGAAACAAATTTTTTTCTTTTTTAATGAATATTTTTTTTTACTTTTATTTCTGATAATAATTATGTTTATCAATTATTCAATGAGATCTTGTTTTCTTATATCCCATTTGTAAAATGTAGAACGTTAAAATGTGAATTTGTTATTAGAAATTTTGTCACTATTCGTAACATTATAATAATAGAAGATTATAATAAATTAAAAAGAAAATAAATTGATATAAATTGATTTTTGATAAAGATTGATAAATTGATTGAAAAAGAAGAAATATTGAAAATCATGTGATTTGAAAAATTGACAATAATAAAATTTAGCTTGGTTAATTCAAAATTATTTTAAAAACAAAAGATGTAATAATATATAAAATATTTATTAATAACATATCATTATCGTTTCCTTGTTGATTATCGTTAATCATTTTCTTATCTTTAAATAAATATTTTTAATATTTTCGTATCACATTTTGATACGAAACAACGCAACGTAACAATGCAACGTTTATATTAGTATACTATATAATATACGATGATAGAATAAGTGCGAATAAGCAACAAAATAATTGCGTTTAATATTTATATTTAATATTTATAATAAAATTTTTTAAAAAAAATTTAACAATTTCTATATTTTCAAATATAGAAATAATTTTTAGTTAATTATTTTTAGTTAAAATGCTAGATTTTGATTAGACTTACACATATATGTGAAAGATTGATACGAATATTTTAAATTTTAATAAATTTTTATTCGTGAAATTACTTTCTTTTTGGAAATGTAATACTTGATGAATTGATTAGTGAATTTATTTCTAAAAAGTATAATAGACATTTCTCAATGTAAAAATGTATAAAGGAATGATTGATATTAATTTTAGAATTTTAATTCAAAGAAATTTATTTTCTTTTTTTAGAAATTTGAATATTTTAAGATAAATTGAATGATTATTCAACCCCTTTTTTCCTTTCTCAATCATTTATCATTTTCTACAACTGGATTCATAACTTGTTACTATTTTTAAAGTAAGATCACGAAGTAATTTTTTGAGATTGTTAGACTTAATTTTTATTTTATTATTATTTACATTTATTTACATGAAAAATTTTAAAATTGACTCTCATATAATTACAATAAATATAAATAACTTATAATATACGAAAATTATGAAAATATACAGATTCTTTAATATTTCTTTTTTCTTCTTTCCAATTTGAACTTCTAATTCACTTCTTAAAAGTAAATTACCATTTAATCATTTAACCATTTTATCTTATTGAAAATCTATTTTTAATAAGATTTTTTGTAACAACAAAAAATAAGAAAAAAATTGCAAGCTATTCATCTACTAATGAAAGAAAATCTTAAAAATTGATTACTAATTAATTAAAAAACATAAAGAAAATAAAAAAATAAAAAAAATTGAACTGCAAACGCATCACGAAATGAAAAATTTCCTCCATATCTCATTAGAATACCAAATTTCATCGAGATCGGTTATAATCCCTCTGTCAGCGGCCGATTAAGTCGCGCATGCAAATAAGGGGGTGGCCAAAGATGAAACGTAAGCGTCGGTATATACGGGATAGCCGATAACGAACGAGCGCTCGCGTGTTCAGCAAGTCTGAATTAAGTAAACATAATTCGCCGAAACCGTACAGAGGCCGATACATGATAGAAGCCTTACAGGGTGGTATTAACACGCTTCGTTCCTCCCATCAACTGACACCTTTAAAAGTCTTTCGATTCGAAGGACAATAAAAAAAGAATCGTGTTGCGTAAAGGATATACGATTTTTCGTGAAATTATTGTGAAACGAAGGGATGAAAAGACAAAAGGAATGGTTATTCTAATTTTTCATATCTCTGTATTTATTCTAAAATTAATCTTTGAATTTGCTTTAGCTTTTTGTTCTTGGGATTATGTACGGTTGTAATGTACAACGTTGAATGTAAAAAGGAATAAAAAGATGGAAAGATATCTCTGTTATTTATTGTTTCGATACGGATTTTTAAAAGAAAATTGAATTTCATTCTTCTCTTTTTGTAAATATTTTTGTTGTTATATATTATATTTATTCGAATATTATATTTATTATAAAATTAAAATATTATAATTATTATTACTTTTTTTTCTTCTTTTTTGTTTTTCGGATTGTATATTGTAATATTGAATTTAAAGAATAGAAAGATTAATTATAAATATCTTTAACTAATATTGTTTTGATATTTTTGTTATATATTATCGAATATTATATTTATTCCAAAATTAACTATTTAAATAAAAACTCTTTCTTTTAGAAATTATAATTATTATAATCGATTAAAATATAAAATAATGGGATAAAAGGGTTTTTATCAATAAATATTATAATTACAAAATGAAATTTTTGTTTGATATTTTGAAATCTGAGTTTTTATATATAATAAATAATTTTTTTATTATTATTTCATGCTATTTAAAAATCATATTTGTATGTATTTTATAAATTTGTTAAAATTATATTTTTGTTTATTGTATATCCCTGAATCCACAATATATACTATCCAATTTTAATTCCTCTCTCAACAATATTAAAAATAATTTTACATAATAAATATCAATTTTTATTTACATTATTTTCATGTGAAATTATTAAACATACAATGCCAATCACAATCAATAATATACTTGATTAATAAAATTAATAAGGGTATAGCAAAAATTATAGGCAATTAAATTTCAGAAATATTCATCTTGAAACTATCACATCAATATGACTTAATCAATAAAATTGAAGAGATTGATCAATTCTCTTTACTTTATTTTTTTCAAAAATATCCATCTTACAACTTCTTCTCTTAATTATTATTATTTCATTAATCTAATTATTTATATCAGTATACTCAATTAATCCATTTCAGTAGAAGAATCAAAAAAGTCAAGAAGAGTGTTGACTAAATTTTCTTCAAACAAATCCTAAAAATCAGCAAAAGAATATACGCTTCGACCACTATATTAACCATGGCGAAAGAGAAAGGGCCAAAGAATAAAAGGGGGAAAAAAAAAAGAAGATGGGGAACGGTGTCTGACTTGGCTAGCCTAAGGCATTGTCAGTGATTGTACATCAGCTCCAGAGGAAAGAAAACGCTAAGAAAATTCTCCTGAAAGTCTGCAGGGATCTTTCCAAAGACAACGAAGTGGCGAGACGATGTGGATCACTTGAAGGGGAATGTAAAAAAATCCTATGGGATAGCTTTGGAAAATCGAAAGAAGGCCAAGGTTGAAAAATGTTTGGAGGAATTTCAACGAAGTTGGTTTAAATATAAGAGATTTAATCGAATAATGAAATTGATTTAAAAATCTTTGCAGTTG